TCGATATGCCTCACGCCTATCTGCCCCCGATCGCTTTCCTTCAGACCACTGGTGCTGCCAGCTCAGACGCCAATCACACTGCGCTTAGGCAAGAAGAACCGTGGTCGCGAAGTCGAGGTCAGCATCGACGGAAATACCATTACAGAGAAACTGGGCACGGGTATGGAAGTCCGCATAGGTGGGGAAGAGGTCAAACGAGACGCGCGGGGCTGGGAAGGTGGTGTTCCTAGCATCGTGCGTGGCACAAGTGGCAAGGAAGACATGGCTGAGGACCACTGGGTCGGTGGACTGAATGCTCTCCTCAAGTTTAACTATCCGTTCGGTGATCAGGAGTCTTGAATTTGCTACAACAAACGTCACATGGCTTCAGACCGCGGTGGTCATATCAGCTGGTAAAGACAGCAATCATATCGGCTATACATAAATACCCACATCGCCCCTTCTTCAGCGTCTCACCGAACCTTCATCACATCAACCTATCATGGCTGGACAAAGCTCGCAAGTTCCTACCCAAGCCCGCCAGTATGATACCCCGTCCGGTTTACGTGTAACAGCCGCGCAGATAGGCTTCATCGCCGATGCCGTCATCAGGCTCCAAATAGGTTTCAACATTGACGCTTCAGACAAAGATGCAGGAATCTCAAGAAATCTTCACAAAGAGTGTTGCGACTGGCTTGATGTTTTACACCGCCTTCCCAAGCTGGCGGAAGTGAAGAAAATCGAGCTCTACTGTCAGCCCGCTCTCATTACGCAGTGGATGGAGATGCGGGACAGGTTCGTGGCAGCAATTGGATTTTTTGAGCGAGGGGTCACGAAGGTGGGTGTATGGGAGATTGTACTTCTGAACTAATGTTGATGCTGCTGTAGCTTATCCCATGAAATCACATTGCATTCTCCATAACCAGTTCGCAATGAAGACTGTGAGTATCGTAGTGATACCCAGGTAGAGCAGCACGTAGGAGGTTCTGACCTAGCTGCATTCATGCTAGCTCGCGCTAGGTCGAAAGATCCCTCAAGCGCTGGCCCGGGGGGCTGGAAACCAAGCTGCGGCATCGACCTTTGAAGAAGTTCCTGCGCCCGTCTCACACGCGCATCGATGTTACGGATTGTTGCCTATTAGCGACCTTTGTTGATGGCGATGGCGGACCAAAACCCCGGCCTGAGCCGACAACAGACCGACGCGACTTTGGAGTACGATTCGAATTGACCTTTCAACGCTCGCCGCCGTGGCTGTTCTTCCACGTTCCAGCGTAATGATGCGTCACTAACTGTGGTGATAGTACAGCTTCCTCTTCAGCGCTGTATCTGTTCGTCATCGGTGCAAAAGAGCGACCGGGCATGAACAGCACATCTCCGACTAGCTTGGGCTGCAGAAGCTTCTCCACGTCACTTCCCGCCAGATTGCGATTCACCATGGCACCCAGACTCTTGTATACCGCATACGTCAGGCGCCTTGGGCCTGTGAAGTCGACTACATCTCCCATCATCTCCATGGTAGTGTCTTCGACGGCTACGCCATGTTCGGCGGTCTTCTTAGCCAGCTCTTCCAAAACGTCATCTATCGCCTGCATCAGATGCGGTGACCGGGGCTTTGCCATGATGGCCCATATCTCCATCTGGTGCAAGTAATTGTCTGGCCACCCATGGTCGAATTCCCAGCCCACAACCAGACTTGTGTTCGCTTTGTACTCCGGTGGAATCCAGTCGTCGATGGGTATGTTCTCACAGGAGACGTCGAGATCGAACCAGATGCCACCTTGATCCCAGAGTAACAAGTAGCGAAGCAGATCCGCCTTCCATATAGGTACTGGAAGCGCAAGGTAGTTGTTGACGATATCCGGCCTCGATGCAAATGCAGTTCGAACATATTCGTCGCTACTTTCGTCTGTCATGAAGTGCGCTTCGTACTCTGGGTTGGACGTGATGCAGCTATCGGTCCAGTTCCGCGCTTCTTCCGAGAGGCCACGAGGACCCAGCTTGTACCATATTACCCTCGGTATGCCTTCATACTTAGGTGCTTGGACGGTTTCCTGGATGGGTAGAGCGATGTCGACGTGGGCGGAGCGAATGGTGTAGATCTGGTATATGAGAAGAAGGACGCACAAGGCAAAAAGCGACTGATAGCTGACGAACTTGAATTGCAGCCTTGCTAACATACTGAATGAGCAGAATGCCGAACGAAAGCTTGCTGTAATGTGTCCAAGCAGAGCGGATGTAGATGCTTCATCATCCACATCGACCTTCATGAGGCTGAATCACGACCGCTGACATTTGAGTCTTTGCAGTCTAGACACCAACGCAAATCTAGGCTTTGTCTTAGACTATCCTTGACAGTTCCGGAAATAAATGGCGCGGATGACCCAATGCCATGGACCCCACGAAAACCTTCGGTGTCAAAGAGGTAGTACAGCATATTCAGCCACGTGCGCAACAAAGAATCCGCATTCCTCAACCAAACAAGGAGGTTTCACTGGCTACCAAGATCCGTTGCTCATTTCGGGGATCCGCAGCCTTACGCCCCGCGGTGCGTATACATGCAGATACTTAAGGCCACGACAGGTCTTGGCCCCAGACGGCTGGTGAGGTTGTGTCCTGTCATCCAATGATGGAAAGGGTATGATATGTCTCAGCCCGATTGTAAACCCTCTAGGGTAATGATTCATGAGGGATGGCGATGAAGACCAGCGAACGATCGGTACCAACGACAGGTAACAATCATCGTCCGTGACACGTGGTTTGAGAAGCACATCCCAAGCTCAGCCGCATGCACGAGATGACAGTTCCAACGCTGATCAACAAGAGTTCTCGTGCGCAGACCGATGACCTCCAGCGCCACGCTTCTAGCCATGACAGACTCGTCTTGGTATGGGAAAAGCGCACCACGCCACAGACCACTCTAATCGCCCAGCACTTCCAGGCTGCCGTCGTGACTGTCATTTCGTAAGCCTCAGGCGTCACTGCACAGGCGCAATCTCAGACTCTCGTCGACTGCTTGAGGTACCGCTCCGACACTTCGCCTGCTTCAACCTTAGGTGCTTACCTCGTTCTGGGTAGCCTGTTCTTCACTCGCTTGAAGCTTACAGACGTTTTCAGACCCGAAGTTCTTTCTACCATCTTTTCATCTTCCAGCAGACGTGTTCTTCTTTTGGTCGTGCTCTAGTCGGATCTTGGGCTACTATAGTTGGACCTTTGTCCATGTCCCAGCGCCCATGGAATTTATCCTCCCGCCATCGCTTGATGTCGCACTTGACATGAGCAATGCACTCAACTACACTATAGGCGAGAAGATCACGGTGTATTGGACGGAGGCACCGGTCGGTACTGCAGTCTCTATAATACTGTGGCAAGCAGATCCGAAGACCGGCGTATCGATTAAGAACGTAGAATACATTTTACGTATAGCAAGCACTTTCAAAAATTAGGAGACCACAGGCTAACGAGATATAACAGAGAGTGTAGTGAACAGAACGAACCAAGAATGGATTATCAGACCTGAGATCAACCTCGAATTGTCCAACCTGTTCCAATTGGCGCTCTACCAGGAGGGCGCAACAGAACCAGAAGATTTCAGCCGGTATTTCTACCTTGAAGACAAGACCGAATCGACAACAAGATCGTCCCTGTCGCTTTTGCCTTCCAGCTCATTGAGCTCAGCGTCTACCGCGAGTTCCCCATCCTCTGCCACTGCAAATTCGACACCTACTAGCACACCAACGACAACACCGCCATCCACACCCGAACCCATACCGATAGCGAGCGCGGCACCGCGCGAGAACAGCTTCCCCACATCAGCCAAAATCGGCATCGGCGTCGGGATACCTGTCGCACTCATAATCGGCCTCGTCGTTGGTTTCCTCCTATTCCGTCGTCACAGAAAGAAAGACGTGACCTCGTCACCAATGCCTGGCACACAGGTCGCTGAGCAGTACAAAAACGGGCCTAATTCTCATCCATTCAACAACAACTCCGGTTACTATGGTCCTCCTCTGAATGAGGCACCACCCGAGAGCTTGGTGGAGTTGGATCCACAGCACGCACATAAAATGCCAACCGATGGGGCGGCGCCGACGAGGTATGAGATGTAACTCTGAGGATCTGCATGAGAGCAGTGTATAGTTGGGTACACAGAGGGAAGGCATCAATCTACTGCAAATGTGCCTTTTCACTTGTTGTCAGCGATCGTATTATCATCATTGCTGTTCTTGTAGCATATTCCACCTAACGTTAAGTCTCCTCGTCCAACATACTAAATAAATCATCTACACCCCATGCCAGCGACTTGACATCGGCGAACAGCCTTACCAACGTTACTAGACTGTCAGCAGCTGGTGTACCGTAACACTGTGCTTATTTCCGCCCTCTTGGTGACGTACAACAGAACTTCCACGACTTGCTTGGCCGCCTTACCGAGTAACGCGTTGCTCACCGGTCCGTTCTCGACATCTGGGAACGCCACTAGCCCCCAATGTCTTTCTGTGTAACAATGACCGCATAAGCGGAAATTAGATCGATCCAAGCCCCACCACATGTGTTTGAGCTTGGGTTGGGTATGCACTGTATCACTTCAGCTCGACCGCAGTTTAAGCCGGGCGTAAAGTAAAAGGCTGGATTAGTTGGACACCCGGAATCACGACAGCGGGGCGATGCTATGACCAGGCGCTGTGCATGTCGTTTTCCGATGGTCCGCACAGCACTGATTGATGGATGGGTTTCAGGTGATGTGGCTTGCATTGGGGGCTATGTAAAAAGCAAAAGCGCATGCTATAGACGGCAGAGGAGGATGGGATCGGGAGAACGGGCGGAGCCGACGTGTGCTTGGCAATGACCAAAGCGTTCAGGATGCTCAGACACAATGTAACAGCTATCTACCTGGCGCCATGAGAATAAAAAGTGAAACCAGGTACAGCAAACGCGACGACACAAGAAACTGGGGATGAGAGACCAAAAACCACACAGCGAATCAACCGCATCCTCACCATGAGCCTCAGCGCAGCCTTGCATCAAGCCACCGCATGACGAGATCCCCAAAGCGAGTACATAGGCAGCGGTTCGGCCCGCTTCGTATCGGTAGAACGCTGAGGGCTGGGATATTCCCATTTGACGTCCTCGAATGGCCCCGCCGCGGAGTCGGTTCTCGCCAGGGTATCTGTATCGGGTGCTTTGATGGATTCGAGCTCGATGCCCTCGTCAACCTCGTTATCCTTTGACGTGTTCGTGGTTCGATCGGCTTTTCTGATGCAGGCCATGAGCAGCAGCATGATGAGGATATAGCCGAAGAGACTCGTGGTCCAGGCGAGGATGATGGTGCTGAACATGTAGACGTCGCCGGCGGGTGGGTTGACGATGAGTATATTACTGATGGCTACAACACTACCCTCGATTGAAGACGGGAGGCGGGCTGCTTTATCAGCAGACCTTTTCGAAGGGCCGACAGAATCTCTTGAGTCGCCAACCGAGTGAGCGTCGCTGTGTTTCCAGTAGATGTCGCCGCGGTGGCTGTGGAAGTCCAGTCCTAGTGTGCTATACACGGCTGCAGCTTTTGTCCAACCGCATAGTTGATCGTTCCCCAGATCGGAAAGTTGGAAGCCCTTGACTGCCAAGGCGTTTTTGAGGATGTCGGGGTAATAGGTAGTGTATTTGGTGACGACGGCGTAGTCGAACATATTGTTCTCATGCGGGTCGCTGAGAGCGACTGTTCTGCTGCCGAAGCCGTCGTGCGGAAGGCATATATCAGGCTTCGTGTGGATCTCGACGTTGTCGGCTCGAGGTATGGTTTTGGCGAAGAGTGAGGTAGGTAGAATTAATAGGAGGAGAGTAGACATTAAGAACATGATTGCGGTGCGAGAATAGCAGTCTTGAGGTGAGTGATCGGACGCTGCCTGCTATCGGATGTTCGAGCGTAAGAGCTGCGGCGCCGGAAGAATGGTGTGGCGTAGTAAGAGTAGAAATGGTGGGCGCGTAATATCTTATAAGCAACCATGGCAGCATGCAGCTTCCGTAAAGCAAGAGTGGAAACGAGGGTCGAGGTGTTGTTGTGGCTGCCAGGAGGTGAGAAGGTAGCAGCGATGCTCGCACGGTGCAGTCGCGATCGTCCACCGACTGGGACCAGGAATGCACGAGGCCGAGTATTAAGATACAAGCTCTTGATACGAGGTAACGAGGCGAATGCTATGAGCTGTGAAGCATACCCAATCCTGCAGGTAGACTAGCAATCTCCAAATGAATTGCAACTTCTCCGACCCATTCACCCAAGCACCTCATACAAGAAAAAAACTGAACAGGTCTGCAGACTACATTGACCCAAAACCTTGCAGAGTAGATTACTCAACGTCAACGTAGGCGCCAGGGCTCCAAGCTGTTCAGTTTTTTCCTAGGTTGGCGTGCAAGCGTGCAACCAAGTCTTCCACGATACCCCCCATCCATGAGTCAGTCTTTTCATTCATCCCACATGACAACCAGGCCTCGGATGCCTTGGAAATAATTGAACACTATCGTTGAAATCGAACCAGGCGATACACGGACGGTAGTGCGGAAGTTGAAACAACCGTAACATGCTATTTCCGATAGCAGGTCTGCGGCATACAAGTCCACATCCGGGAGATCAAGAACAAACTCAATATTCGGAAGTCCTTGTATCAGTCTTTTGAAGGCAGACAAGAGAGGTTCGTTACCAGGTAAGCTGAGTTTCGCATAAATCGACGTTGATCCGATCAAATTCCAGCGTGCGATGTATATTTTCCGGTAAAAGAGGTATAAGATCTTGACAATGCGCTCGTCCCATCTTATCATCACAATGCGAATGGGTATTGACGCTGCGAGTGCTTGTTTTCTCTTTATGATCTCGATGACCTCCGTGTGTATCTGCCGACACGTACTAAGGAGGGCGATTCCCACTTGAGCGATCTGAAGAGACAAGCCGTGCTTTTTTGTAGCAAAGATCTCTCGGCATTCGTGGCGGAAGACTTCGTTCGGGATGTGCTCGTATACCATCAGCCGGAGTTCGGCTGGAAGGTCGAGAAACCTGAAGGTATCGGGACCGGGAGAGGGCAGGCGCGACATTGTTGTTGTATATAGCTCGAAAAAGCTTGAGGGTGTTTGGAAGCAAAAATGAGAGGTGTTCGAATGCAAAAGATGCAAGAAAGGTTTGATGCAGATATTGTAGCTGTGTGTAATCGAGAGACTCTGGTTCTCGCATACTGACGCCCGTGGTTGAAGCGACCCGTGCCGACTAATCGTCAACTTGCTAACATCACTATGACCCTAGCAACCCAGTTACAGCAGCGACCAATCAAATCCCAAAATCCCATACGGTCGATAGGGTAACTTATAGCTAGGACCTTTGTCTAGCGTACCCTAAAGATCTACGATCTACTTGCTAGCTTGCGCGGTTGACCTTTGGGTTTCGGCGCTGAAGTAGACTCCGTGGCATCACCGTCAGGCTTTGAATCCAGTTCTTTCTCACGCTGAGCCAGGGCCTTTTCTCTTTCTTCTAGCTCTGCCTGTCGTCGATTAAGATCACTCTCTCGTTGGTCGAGTTTCTTTTCCCGGTCATTCTGCGAATCCGCGTTTTGAGTATCGGGTTTCTCGCTTGCGTTAGATGCTCCACCAGCATCATTACGCATACTGTCCGTCTCGACTGATTGTGGTTCGCTATCATCTTGCTTCGCATTCAGCTTCCGTGGCTTCTTGCGACCTTGAGTTTCGCTCTTTTGTGCTGAATCTCCGCTTGGTGGCTCTTCAGACTGGTTCGCACAGGGCTTCGAGTCCGAATCTCCGCCCGTTGCTTGCGCACCAGCCTTTGCAGCGTCTGACACCTCTTTCTGATCTGGCATCATGCCCTTCGCACTCTCCATCCAACCCTCGTCAATCTGACCTCCACCTCCCTCACTCTTGAACTTCTCAAGCTCTTCAGTTCCGGGCATCTCTTCTTCGTTAGCTTGTCCCATCATCTTCTCCAGTGTCTTCTTTTGCTCTTCGCTCGCTGCCCATTGCGGGAGGAAACTAGTGAGCTTCTTCATGCCCTTCCCTGCTACTTTGCCCATGTTCACCCATGGGCCGTGAAGCGCACCTGTCGCTCCACCTACTCCAGCACCTATCCCACCAAGCAGAGTTGAAGAGATGCCGCCAACCAAAGTCCCGGTGATTGCGCCCAATGTGGCACCAGGCGCGACACCAAGGCCTGTGCCCATTGCCATGCCTTGAAAAGCGCCCGAACGAAGATATTTTGCGGTCTTTCCAAATGACTCAGCCTCGATGTGTGCATTTGTGGCTTCTTCTGTCAGCCTCTCCCGTTCGTCCGGATCGCTGGCCGCAGCTGCTGCATCCTTCAATTCTTTGGCTTTCTTTTGCGCGGCGAGGGCAGCATTGGCGGCTTTCCCTGATTCTTGCCGCACCTCTTCTTCGGAAACGGCGGGCTTGTTAGACTCTTTGTTCTCTTCATCTTTCTTGCCCCCATCTTTGTTCAACTTTTTAGGAGGCATGATTGTTAGTTGGTTTTCTCAGAGTTGTGGCGGCTGCAGGGTATCCCCTGGTGTACGTCATTGACGCTAGCTTCCCCACTCGAGAACCTGAATTGGACGCGTTCAGGACGCGCTACGACCTTTCCATGTTTCCAATTGCACACGCTGCTACCAGCGTATTGGAGACGATTTCTATCATAACGGCTGTTGATTTATTCGATCGTGATGCAATGGAGATGCTTGAGCCGACGATGGTGAATTCACGCGCGAGGTCGATGATGACCTGTTCATCAGTCAAAGGTTGGTATCAATCAGATGAACGACGCGACTTGTGTGTAGTTTTTCATATTGACTCAGAACAGGAACTAGCTACTAGGCACGGCACATGCGACCGTCAGTCCGAACAGTCCAGGCTTCGCTGCCAACGCCGACAGTGGCGTAGAATAGACTTGAAGGATCCCATTTCTTCTTGATCGTCAACAACCTTGCGTAGTTCTGGCCCCAGAACGTATCCTGGAAATTCGGTTGACGGAAATCGGCCTCGTTCACGTAGGATCCGCTACCAGGTGTCGCAGCCTCAACAAGAGGAATAATCTCGTTCGTCATCTTGTCTTGAGTTGCGAACGCCTCCGACCACGGAGCTGTGAAGTTCCATGGAAGTGTCAAGGTCGCGTGCACGATTGCCTTGCGCCAGGCCGGGTGGACCGACGTTGTTTTCTCCGAACCAAACGCCTTCACATCTGTACCGACTCCAATCCAGGTCACTCCCTTTTCTACGATAGCCTTCCAGGTTTCGGAGATGTTGCCCACTACACTTCGTGGGATCAAGCGAGTACCGTACTGGGCGATGCCGACCTGGATGTTGCCGAGAGGAAGGGGGCCGAAGTACTTGTCGTAGTGCTCATAGTACGTGTCGAATTCGCTGTATTCAGCGGTGTACTTGACGCCTTTGGAGTCCAGCCTAGCGACGAAAGGCGCAAGCATGGCCTTGACTTCGGCTTCCGTCTTGTTGTAGGCGTTAAGCGGGGAGATCATGAAAAATGAAGACGTGAAGTAATGGACCACCATTGCTCCGGCATCTACCATGGCAGGCAGCTCCTCGTGGAACGCTTGGATGGCATCATAGAACACGTCCTGGTCGTTGTCCGTGGTGAAGAACGACAGTGAAGCGCCGCCGAAAACAGCTTCCTTGTGCGCTTTGACAGTCATCCCAACCACAACGCCGTAGGTGCTGCCACCGCCGCCGTTGAGAGCCCAGTAAAGGTCCGCGTTTTCCTTCGTATTCGCATTGACAAGCTTCCCGCTTGCTGTCACGACTTCCCAATTCAGTACGTTGTCGGCAGCGAGGCCGAAGCTAGTACTGATAGCCGAATGTCCACCACCCTGTGTGTAACCGCCAGCGATGCCAACAGTAGGGCACTCGCCTCCAACCACGACCAAGCCTTTGTCTCGGGAAGCAGCCATTAGTTCGAAACCTTGAACGCCGGCACCAATCTTAAAAGCCGGGCCATTGTATTCTGAACCCATGAACGTCGGAACATGGGTGATTTCCTTGAGATGGTGTGTCCACACCGCTAGTGAGCCCGCGCCTGTGGAACGACCGAGATAATCATGGCCCGTGTTGCGGATGACGAGACGAATGTTCTTGGAGGCAGCAAACGCGATCGCTCGTTGGACGTCTGCAGGCCCGGACGCATCCACGGCGTAACGGACGTAGTTCCCGAGCTCACATGGGCGGTCTCGAGGTTGGAAGGGATCGCAGCTCTGGTTGGCAAAGAAAGGTGCCATTACAGATGAAGACGATTCATAACTGACTAAACGTTAGAGTGACGTCTTCAGAGCACATGTGTGGAACATACTGGATCTTCTCAAACTGCCAATCCTTCTTCAGACTTTCACAAGTCGCGTCGTCGAAAGTCGGAACGTGGCAGGGAGCTCCGAGTGGTACGGTTGCCACTAGACGTCCGCCTACTGTCTTGTTCAAGCTGTTCCACTCTGCTTGCGAAGGCCATGACTTGTCTCCTGGGAACGACTTGCATTGATTGGGGGTTGGGTTAGCAGAAACGACGCCAAGAAGCGCGAGGACTGGGATGTAGGAACGCATTTCCAGGGCGTAGGAAAAGATAAAGTTCTGCGACCTGGAAAATGTCAATCTCCCAGGCATACGGATTAATATAAACAGAAATTCAGGCTCCCTGCATGCGCCGCGCTTGACAGTGGCGAGCAACCTAGAGCAGTTGTGGGACTACAAATCTAGTGTCCGGTGGGGTGGACCGTCCCGGGGTGATACCGCGACCCCGTTTTGTGGCCGTGGCGCCGATTGCCTTGGATCTGAGTCTACGCGAAAAAGACCTCTGACAGAGATATGCAGA